TCACGATAGATAGATAGATAGATAGATAGATAGATAGATAGATAGAAACAAACTGAGAATAGATAGATAGAAACAAACTGAGAATAGATAGATAGATAGAAACAAACTGAAAATAGATAGATAGATAGATAGAAACAAACTGAGAATAGATAGATAGAAACAAACTAGGAATAGATAGAAATAGAACAAGAATAGATAGATAGAAACAAACTGAGAATAGATAGATAGATAGAAACAAACTGAGAATAGAGATAGATAGAAACAAACTGAGAATAGATAGATAGAAACAAACTGAGAATAGAGATAAAGAAACAAATGAGAGAGATAGATAGAAACAAACAACTGAGAATAGAGAGATAGATAGATAAATAGATAGATAGATAGATAGATAGAAACAAACTGAGAATAGATAGATAGATAAATAGATAGATAGATAGAACAGATAGATAGATAGAAATAAAATAGATAGATAGATAAAATGAATGAGATAGAAACAAACTGAGAATAGATAGATAGATAGATAGATAGATAGATAGATAGAAACAAACTGAGAATAGATAGATAGAAACAAACTGAGAAAATGAGAAACAAACTGAGAATAGATAGACAGATAGAAACAAACTGAAAATAGATAGATAGATAGATAGAAACAAACTGAGAAAATAAATGAAGAAACAGACTGAGAATAGATAGATAGAAACAAACTGAGAATAGATAGATAGATAGAAACAAACTGAGAATAGATAGATAGATAGAAACAAACTGAGAATAGATAGATAGATAGAAACAAACTGAGAATAGATAGATAGAAACAAACTGAGAATAGAGAGATAGAAACAAACTGAGAATAGAGAGATAGAAACAAACTGAGAATAGAGAGATAGAAACAAACTGAGAATAGAGAGATAGATAGATAAATAGATAGATAGATAGATAGATAGAAACAAACTGAGAATAGATAGATAGATAGATAAATAGATAGATAGATAGATAGATAGATAGATAGATAGATAGAAACAAACTGAGAATAGATAGATAGAGATAAATAGATAGACAGAGGATAGATAGATAGATAGAAGATAGAAACAAACTGAGAATAGATAGATAGACAAATAGATAGATAGATAGATAGAAACAAACTGAGAATAGATAGATAGATAGATAAATAGATAGATAGATAGATAGAAACAAACTGAGAATAGATAGATAGATAGATAGATAGAAACAAACTGAGAATAGATAGATAGATAGATAGAAACAAACTGAGAATAGATAGATAGATAGATAGAAACAAACTGAGAATAGATAGATAGATAGATAGAAACAAATAGATAGATAGATAGATGAAACTAACTGAGAATAGATAGATAGATAGATAGAAACAAACTGAGAATAGATAGATAGATAGATAGAAACAAACTGAGAATAGATAGATAGATAGATAGAAACAAACTGAGAATAGATAGATAGATAGATAGATAGAAACAAACTGAGAATAGATAGATAGATAGATAGATAGAAACAAACTGAGAATAGATAGATAGATGAAGACAGAACAAACTGAGAATAGATAGATAGATAGATAGAAAAACAAACTGAGAATAGATAGATAGATAGATAGATAGATAGATAGATAGATGAAACAAACTGAGAATAGATAGATAGATAGATAGATAGAAACAAACTGAGAATAGATGAATGAAACAAATAGAATAGATAGATAGATAGAAACAAACTGAAACAGAGAATAGATAGATAGATAGATAGATAGATAGAAACAAACTGAGAGATAGATAGATAGATAGATAGATAGAAACAAACTGAGAATAGATAGATAGATAGATAGATAGATAGATAGAAACAAACTGAGAATAGATAGATAGATAGATAGATAGATAGATAGATAGATAGATAGATAGATAGATAGATAGATAGATAGATAGAACAGGAATTATGATAAAAATATTCATGATCAATTATTAAGTGGACCGATAACTGATTGTTCATACAGATAGATAAACAGATTTTCCCTCAGACAATATTACTTCGAGCATGGATGTGCAATGCAAAAATCATTCATGTGGGTTTACTTTATCGGTCTGCAGTTACATTGCTAACGTACAAGTCCGCACCAGAAACGAATAGACTTTCCCGTTATTTTCTTCATTTTGTTGTGATTTGAATCGAGAAATTTATTGGAAGTAATTTACAACACTAGCCATCCTTCCCTCTAGGAGTCTTTTCGACTTAGAAGAATTAATGATTGGCGATCTAAGTTAATTTAAGAGAGTAATACAAAGAAGAAGAAAGTACAAGAATAGCAAATTGGAGTCACAAATAAAAAAACAAAGATAAAATTACAAATCTTAGAGGAACTTCTTGGCAACTTTCCTGCGTCTAATGCAGATAATAGCTTTGATTGTGAAAGAAAATAATTTCGAAGATCAAGAATCCAAACCGATTTTTTTATGGCATAACGCTTTTTTTATGTCACAAACAATAATGCGATATTGTGTTCACACCATTTTCTTTTTCATCAAGAAGTAATTTAACCCAGCTCGGAAAGAAGATATAATCATTGCCTTACATAAAATATCTGATTCCTACTTTATATGCCTCCAACAGCTAATCAGCATGTGAATAGCGAGAAAGAATTCAATTTATATTTAATTTTTTATTAAATATAAGGTTTATATTATGTTTAATAGTAATCAATTGTATGCACTGATTGACTTTATGATAGTGCAATTTATGTAACGTTAGTTACAAGAGGGACAGGAAACTTCGAAGAAAACCAGAAAGTTTTAGAATCTATTGATTTTATCTCAGTTTTTATGACGTTGACTTTCAACTTGCAATGTTATTATTATTTTTAAAAAATGGACGATTTATATTAGAAAAATAGTGTTTATTCTTTCCAGGTTGATTGGATACTCGATTTAACTTCATAAGAACGTACAAAATGATTGTGCTGAATTGGTAACATTTTACAATAAGGAAAGAAAGCAAGAAATGCTAAGGAATATTTAATAGGTAGACATGATTTCATTACTCCGATAATTACGTCTATAACAAGTAGTAAATGCCTTGATGAACATGAAACCTGTGTAAAACTGGGTTAGCACAGTTTTATATGGGCTTCCCATCATAAATAATTTTAATTGTAGATAGGCTCATATTACTATGCTCTATATCTTCAGGCTGGATACTAACGGCTTTATTGAGTGTACCAGTTAAAAAGCTGAGAATGGCAAAATCCTTAGAATACAATTCTAATCAAATTATTTCTTTCGATTGACCATATCCACTGCTCGTTAAATAGAAATCCTCTTTAAGATATACCGTGTTACTGTTTTGTGGTGAGAAATTCCAAATTTATTTTATGAGTTTCTAAAGTGGAAAAAAAACCTAATGCCGACTTGAATTTTATTGACATTTGGTTATCTTGCATCGATGAACTGCCATAAGGTAGTCAGTTTCATTACTTAGTTCTCTATCAATAAAAGCAGCTCACGTGCTAATACCCTTGGTAAAGGTATGAATCCTCTTCTTATCTCACCCCCCCCAAGCTATGGGTAAATAGCAGAACAGTCTGGGTTCTATAGCCTTGGATGGCAACTGGTCTACCGCAGAAAGAAATGGCAACCTATTGCGGGGGAAAAAGTCTTCCTCGTCAGTCATGTATCTAAAGATAATAGATTAGATTTCCTAATATCATTGTTGGTTTTCCTTAGTTTGACCAAATTAAAATTATTTAAAAGAATGATGTTCAGATTTTGTATTTCCATTTCACTGATTATTTAAATCTGGAAACTCGAATTCACCAGGGAAATATAAGTTTTCTTACATCTAACAAGAAAAGTTTTAAATTATTTTTTTCCAAGTACGTTCCTTTCTGCTTGTCTTATGGACATATCTTTTCAACTTTTTATCCGGTATTCTCTTTCTGAAGCATTCCAAAATGCTTCCCACGTGTAAATGTCCTAAGAACTCACTGTCATGGAATCCTGCGTGTCCCCCCCACTTTTTACGTACGTTACGGCCGGCCAATAACTCATATATAATGAACTGTTTCGTTTCGATCGCGAGGAAAAACAAAAATGCTATTTGGATTCAAAGAAAGAAAGAGGTGACGATAACGCTGTCGTGTGTTTAACGTCTGCTTCTGTGAAATAGAAAACTTGTCAATTTCAAATCTTTTCCTTTTTACCTTCTTTAAATAACGGCCTGCATTCATGCTGATAATTGTTACTGCCATATTTTGTCAAAATTATTGATCTAAAATATTTAACGATGCTAATATCCATGCTAATATCCATGGGTATTTTATGATTGTAGAACTATAGTAAGAAGCTTATTGAATCAGAATTTTCAAGTAGTAAAACCGTAAAATTTTCACTGGTATTGATGCCTATTGTATTAAAATATGCATTTTCACTAATCTGGCATAAATTTTCGATACCTAACATTTAAAATGAATTTTAAAAAGAAATGGCAAGCTATTGCGGGGGGGGGGGAATCTTCTTTGTCAGTCATGTATCGAAAGATACATGATTGCCTAAGCGTGCATCACGCATGGCACATAACTGGCTGAAATTCACTTACGTGCTTGTATCCTTGGGAAAGGTATGAATCCTCTTCTTCCCCCACCTTAATCTTTATTTTAAAAAAAAAAAAAAATATTATGTAAATATTTGTAACTTTGTATAATATTTATACATTACACCCTAATCTTTATTCGGTAAAAATTTCATTGCTAATCATGCATTACTTTTTAAATAATACACATATTTATGTCTTTGTGTTTCCGTTCTTTATATTATGGCCGTACTGTATACCTCTATTAAAGAAGCTTGGTTTTCATTGCAAAAATTTCATACACGCTCTGCTCACTTGTAATATTTTATCGATAAATAATATAACGTAGAAACGGATCTTAATTGGCGGGTAAGGCTCAATATTAATGTATAGGACAGGATATTTTCCAAAATGAAATATGACACGTAAAAAATCAACTGAAGTTTGTCCCACTGTCTCCTCTTATAGAATAAATCATTTTGAATAAAAAGAAAATGTTAATAAAAGGGGCAAAGCAAATGAAAAAACTGCAATCGTTCCCTATCTATTTCCCCACTACACTCACACACTCTAAATTAAAATTGAAAATTATAATTACTTTGACTTGTCCTTGAGAACACTATCAGTTCTTCCTTTTAAATTCTCATTAAAACAAAAAATACCGTGAAATAAATGCTTTAATTTCTAGTTTAAAAGCATTAACATAGGACTGTATAGTGATTTTCCAAGCGTCGCTTAGATGGAACACAAGGTCGAAAGTATGGAGCACCCAGTGAGGATAGAACTCACTACTCAGTCGTAATTATTCTAGCGAGACGAGCTTGCTAACCATTACACCACCTGGAACGTGACTTAGATGTGGCACAAGGCCGAAAGTATAAGGTACCCAGTAAAGATCGAACTTGCTACTCAGTCGTAATTTTTTCTATCAAGACAAGCTTGCTTACCATTACAGAGCCTCGAGATGCCCTTAACATAAGACTGTATATGCTTCGAATTTACCCCTAAGTTTTCATATAAAATCGTGTCGTGTTTCTTTTAACTCTACATCATTCGTCTGGGCTTTCTGGCAAGTACAATTGTCAGATTCAATCTAATTTCTTTAATCTTATATTCTGCAGCCTGTGTTCCATAATTTATATTCAGTAGTATAACATTGTTTCCAAGGATGACACGACTATATTGAAAGTTTTAGAATAAATAGAAAATGTTCCAATTATATTAGAAATTTCATTCATTTGCTGCTTCAGCGTTGGTTTTAATATAGAAGTTGAAAATAGGAATAAAAGATGAATTGCAGAAAATCCTAAGAGTTTTATTAATTTTTCCACTTCTCTAAAACTTCGACTGAAAACTTGTGAATGTCAGGTCTTTCTTATTACGTTCATCTGTAATTTATATTTGTTTTTAGTATTGCTGGATTGAAATGAAATTTGCAAAAATAAACAAACTAAATGGCTAAGTCCCTTATATTTTTCATTTATTAAACAACTGTACCTTTGTATCAATTCTACTTTATTATATTTATTCACTTATAGCAATAATAATTTTTGAGATTTAGAATTGTACAAGACTGCAATGTCAGAAGTGAGTTCTGTCTCCTAATCTTTTTCAAATTATTCCTATAAGATTAACTTGCTAACCAATGAATTACGAAAAGTGCTCTCGACGCGAGAAATAGTGCGCTGCACTAATCTTCAGAGTAAATAGACTGAGTTAAAAATGAGTGCTCAAATTCTTGAATTATACCCAAGTTTGAACACTGACTGCTGACAACAGAAAGAAATACCGAATTAACTCAACTATAGGTCCCCACCTACTTGGACCAATCTTTTCAATTTTTATCCTGTATTCTCTTTCTGAAGCATTCCAAAATGCTTCCCACGTGTAAATGTTCTAAGAACTCAAAATCATGGAATCCTGTGTTTCCCCCCCTTTTTACGTACGGCCGGCCAATAACTCATGTATAATGAACTGTTTCGTTTCGATCGCGAGGAAAAACAAAATGCTATTTGGATTCAAATAAAGAAAGAAGCGACGATAACGCTCTCGTGTGTTTAACGTCTGCTTCTGTGAAAACTTGTCAATTTCAAGCTTTTTCCTTTGTACCCACTTTAAATAATGGCCTGCATTCATACTGATAATTGTTACTGCCATATTTTGTCAAAATTATTGATCTAAAATATTTAACGATGCGATAGGCTAATATCCATGGGTATTTTATGATTGTAGAACTATAGTAAGAAGCTTATTGAATCAGAATTTTCAAGTAGTAAAACCGTAAAATTTTCACTGGTACTGATGCCTTTTGTATTAAAATATGTACTTTCACTTATTCGGCATAAATTTTCGATACCTAACATTTAAAATGAATTTTAAAAAAAGAAAAAAGTAATCTGGAAGATTTCATTTTAGCTTTTCCCAGTAAG